CCAAGAGCCCCCCCCCCCGGCCGCCAGGACTTACACAGTGATCCTGAAACCATTACAGCCCATGCTTAGTGGAACTGCCCCCAGGTGATTGGGGATGGCAGGGGAAAGGGGTACAAGGAGGCCACCCAGAGGAACAGGGAGGGGGCACCCCTGTAGCAGGGCCATGGGAGATGCTCCTCCAGCATGCTACCAGGAGTCACCTGTGCCCCCCCCCCCAAGCTTCCCAGCAGAAGCAGGTTCTGCCCAGACCAGGAGCCCACAACTCACCCCAGCGCCAGCCCCTACCAGAACAGCTGCCGAACCAGCAGCCACCCCCACCGTGACCCATCCCCCTCCCCCACGCACCGCCAGGGGCCCACACACACCTGGCCCAGCAACACAGCTGAAACCAGACACTGGCGCTGCTCTAACACCGCCTCCCACGGGTGAGCACAGGGCACTGCCCAGGGGCACAAACACCTTCCAGAGAGGAGTCCGGGAGCGAAACGTCGTCACGTGGCTCGACTCTAGAAACCAAGGACTGGAGGCTCCTGGCTGTAACGCTCTGTAACCCACTGCCCCCCACCCCCTTGTGGCCCTGTGACTGCGGGGTGCTAGCGGGCAGGGGTCTGAGGACCTGCATTCGCTCTTTACGCCAGCCCCCTTGGATTGCGCTGGGCTGCCAGGAGCCTTTCCCAGCTGCAAAGGGCAGTCAGGTGAGCTCAGGCGCTCGGTCCCCTGAGAGAGCCTTCCCCACCCCCACCTCTCAGGGACCCAGCAGCACCTCAAATGCTAGTGAAGAGGCAGTGAAAAGCCAACAGCAGGTGTCTGCTTCTGAGACTAGATCCAGGTACCCAACCGTGGAAGCCCGCAGCAATTTCCCCTCCGGAGAAAGGGCCTCAGCCCGGTGAGTTTGAAAACACCATGGCTCTGTCTAGTCACGGCTTCTTGCGCCAGAAATATGCAAATGAGCCTAAGTGGGGAATATTGCTGAGCCTCATTTGCATACCTAATGAGCCACCATTTTTGCAGAAGAGGCCCTTGCGCCAGGAGCTGTCTACGCTTCCCCTTCGTGCGCAACGCCGTTCTTCCTGAAAAGTAAGCGGCCTTGCGCAAGAGGGTGTTTGTTGCACAACCGGGGTGGTGTAGACAGCGCCTTCTGGCGCAAGAGCCTCTTCTGCAAAAATGGTGGCTCATTAGGTATGCAAATGAGGTGTGGCAATATTCCCCACTTAGCCTCGTTTGTAGACGTAGCCCATGACAACTTTGGGCAAGTTGAGCTGCTTTCAGGAGGGGGTGGGGAAGAGATCTGCTCAACTCCCTCTAGAGCCTGCCCTTATCCATGATGCATTTGGGAGCGTGCACGCCCACCCGCCCCGCAACCGGCGAGAGCTCGGACCACCCACTCCGCCAGGCAGCTTCCTCGTCTAGCAAAGCGTGTCGGGGTTTGGTTGTGCCAGGACAACAGGCCCTGCCTGGAATTCAATTGTTTTCTCAAAGGGTCAGGCAGGAGGGTGAGTTATGCTGCAGAATGACCACAGGGGGGCAGAGCTGGGGCCCACTGGGCCAGAAGAGGGACAGCCACTGTCCATTGCAGAGTTTGTCGTCTGTCCCCCCGCCAGGGGACATGCCCCCTCCTAGCACCTGTGCCCCCTGCAGCGGCCAGGGAGAGGCGCTTCTCCCCTAGCCCCAAGCTGCTGCGCTGAGTGCGGCCGAGGTTTTCCTCTCTGCCCAGGGCAGCCTGCACCCCTCAGCACTGATGGAAGTGAAGAAAAACAGCTTCTTAGAGTTAGGGACCCGCCCGAGGCCGGGTAAGACCCTGCTGGTTGTTCTGCGGGCGGCCTTGGTCTCCCATGTCCAGCTCCCTGCTGTACCGCGAGGCTATGGAGTTAGGTTTGTAGCGAGGAGGGCAGCGAAGGGCTGGGTGCCCCATGAAGTAGCAACACCCCACAGAGACAGGCTGCTGCAAACGCTTCCTTTGGGACCAGCAGGCCTGCCAGCCGGCAGCAGCCCAGGGGCGGACAAGCGCCCAGCAGGCCAGG